CAGTATATGAGTGAAAAAAATTGTGGTATATTCACTTAATGATATCATACTCCACAATAAAAATGAATTGCTGATATATGCAGTGACATCTCTGATCCTCACACATTTCATGTTGAGCAAAAGAAGACTGAGAAAAGAGTGCATAATATATAATTCCATTGAAAAGAGTTCTAGGGGTACCTAGAGTTCTTCGTGACTCAGTTAATTAGGCATCAGAATCTTGGTTTTGGCTCAGGTCATGATCTCAGGGTTGTGACTTTGAGTCCCTTGATGAACATGGAGCCTGCTTAAGATTCTCTCTCTCCCTCTCCCTCTGACTCTTTCTCTCAAAAAAAAAAGTTCTAGAACAGTCTAAATCTATGGTGATAGATAAAGTGACAGAAATCAGATCACCAGTTCCATTGGGTGAGTGTGGAGAAGGGGATTTACTGGAGAGTGTCCCAAGGGTACTTTCTGGGTTGAAAAAAATGTTTTATATCATGTTTGGAGATGGTTACATGAAATTATGGAGTTGTTAAAAGTCTTCAAACCAGGGCGCCTGGGTGGCTCAGTCGTTAAGCGTCTGCCTTCGGCTCAGGTCATGATCCCAGGGTCCTGGGATCGAGCCCCACATTGGGCTCCCTGCTCCGCGGGAAGCCTGCTTCTCCCTCTCCCACTCCCCCTGCTTGTGTTCCCTCTCTTGCTGTGTCTCTCTCTGTCAAATAAATAAAATCTTTAAAAAGTAAAGGTCCTCAAACCATGCACTATTTAGAATCTCTGTATTTTATTGTGTATAACTTTATATAAACTACATAAAGTTGACAAAAATTAAAGGAATGTGAGACAAAAGTGAAGATGAATGATATCGAAATCAGTAGAAATTACAACCAAAAAATTCAGTAATTCATTTAAGAGATCAATTTCAAATAGAAATAATGAGTAAGAGATTCTAGGGTTGTTGATAATGCAAATGACGATGAGGAATGAGTCACATGATCAAACTGGAGAAAGTACTGAAATTTTTTTAAAGATTTATCTGAGAGAGAGGAGAGAGCATGTGAGTGGGGGGGAGGGGCAAAGAGAGGGAGAGAGAGGATCTCAGACTCCCCACTCGGCATGGAGCTCCACGTAGGGCTTGATCCTAGGACCCTGAAATCATGACCTGATCTGAAACCAAGAGTCAGATGCCCAACCGACTGGCCACCCAGGCATGCTGAAAGTACTGAAAAAAAATTTTGTTTTTTAAGATTTTATTTATTTATTCATGAGAGACCGAGAGGCAGAGGCAGAGGGAGAAGCAGGCTCCCCGCTGAGCAGGGAGCCTGATGTGGCACTTGATCCCAGGACCCCGGGATCATGACCTGAGCCAAAGGCAGTTGCTTAACCATCTGAGCCACTCAGGCGCCAAATTTTTTTTTTTTTAAGATTTTATTTGAGAGAGTGAGCACGTGTGAGAGAGTACAAACAGTGGGTGTGGGGGTTTTGGAGGGGCAGAGGGAGAAGGAGAAGCAGACTCCCCACTGAACAGGGAGCCCAATGCAGGGTTCGGTTCCAGGACCCTGAGATCATGACCTGAGCCGAAGGCAGATGCTTAACTGACTGAACCACCCAGGCACCCCAAAGTACTGAAATTTTGACATAAAATACTGACATATAAAAGTCACAATATGTTTCTAAGGAGAACATCTATGATAACCTTGTAATAATGTGTCATCAATTCTAAAGATTTAGGCTCAGTCACTACATCAGAAACTGGGCTCTGAAATCTTACAGGTCATGTGAAAAAAAAACTTGATAGTAATTTTAATGTGACAACCCTAAAAATTTACATGACATTATCAGATGGAATCAATTTGAAAAATACTTTTATAAGCTTTATTTATTTATTTTTTTAAAGATTTTATTTATTTATTTGAGAGAGAGAGAATGCGAGATAGAAAGCACGAGAGGGAAGAGGGTCAGAGGGAGAAGCAGACTCCCTGCTGAGCAGGGAGCCCGATGCGGGACTCGATCCCGGGACTCCAGGATCATGACCTGAGCCGAAGGCAGTCGCTTAACCAACTGAGCCACCCAGGTGCCCATAAGCTTTATTTTTAAGTTTTATTTTTTTAAAGATTCTATTTGAGAGTGAGCACGTCTGCGGGTGCACAGAGTGAGAGGGAGAAGCAGACTCCCCGCTGAGCTTGAGCTCACGACCTGACCCAAAGGCAGCCCACTAACTAGCTGAATCATCCAGGTACCCCATTTTATTTTTTAAATATTTATTTACTATTTGAGAGAGAGACAGAGATCGAGGGGAGGAGCCGAGGGAAAGGAAGAGAGCTAGAGAGAGCCAGCAGACTCTGCTGAGCACAGAGCCTGACTTGGGGCTTGATCTCACAACCCTGAGATAACCTGAGCCAAAATCAAGAGTCTGATGCTTAACCAACTTAGCCATGTAGGCACCACTAAGATTTTAAGTAATCTCTACACCCAACCTGGGGCTCAAACACACAACCTCAGCTCAAGAGTCCTGCACTCTACTGACTGAGCCAGTCACGTGCCCCAAAACTTTTATAAACTTTTTTTAAAAGATTTTATTTATTTATTTGACAGAGAGAGAGAGACAGCGAAGAGGGAACACAAGCAGGGGGGGGGGGAGAGGGAGAAGCAGGCTTCCCACGGAGCAGGGAGCCCAATGCAGGGCTCGATCCCAGGACCCTGGGATCATGACCTGAGCTGCAGGCAGACGCTTAAGGACTGAGCCACCCAGGCGCCCAACTTTTATAAACTCTTAATAAAATTTCATCACCCTTGCTAGAGAAAAGACTGTTTTCCCTTTGGGTTCTCTATTGAAAATGATCTTCAACCTTATTTTTGAGGTAATTAAAGTGTGTGAAGCCAAAATACACAATTTTTTTAATATATTAGTCCTCATAGTTTTTTTTTTTTTAAAGATTTTATTTATTTATTTGAGAGAGAGAGAATGAGAGATAGCACAAGAGGGAAGAGGGTCAGAGGGAGAAGCAGACTCCCCGCTGAGCAGGGAGTCCGATGGGGGACTCGATCCCGGGACCCCAGGATCATGACCCGAGCCGAAGGCAGTCCCTTAACCAACTGAGCCACCCAGGCACCCCAAAATACACAATTTTTGTAGAGCTGTGTTTGTAGTTTGTTTTTCGGGGGGGGGGGATTTTTTTATATTAGTGGATTTTGTCTAATTAAAAATGTATAATTTGTGCTAATCATCCTAAATGTTCATTTTATTCCTACTTTTGTTTTCATGAAGGGGACCATTGGGGTCCTACAACGGCAGGGGGGCTGCCCGCTGAGCCCCTAACCCTAACCTACTCAAATTGTGTAAGCTCTGGGCTCTATAACTCCTGAGTATACCCTGGATCAGTGAGTCACAGGACATAAAGTTGACTGTAAAAAAGTTTCCAGTAAAACGCATTTAGGGTAATTTCATAAAGTTAAAATACATGCAAATATATCAACGTATCATTTACAGATTGAAAGCAAATGTGGTAGAATTAAAAGGCTCACAGAAGGCTCAGAGGCAGGATGAAAAATTGTGAATTGGGCACTTTTTGCCTTCATGAGCACGTTCCTCTTTAAAAATACCAAAACTACTTTATGACTACGTTGGTATAAAGACACATGTTAACTATTGAAAGATTTGATCCAACCTAAGCTTGCGCTTTTTCTAATTTTCGAAGAAGTTAAAACATTTTCGTGTGTCTGGTGGCAAAATACCCTGGTTCAGTATTCAAGGTGGTAATTGTCTCTGCCTTGGTGGTGAGGAGCTTGACGTTTTACCTATACTCTTTCCCGTCTACTTTAGTCAAAACCTAAGTAATACATTCTGCAAGGGTCTACATGAAAATGGTGATGTCAGGGAAATACGATATCCAGGTTGATTTTTATCATCTTATCCATCTCTTAAATTTCTTCCCAATAGCCATCCAGAACCTCATTTCAGACCAGTATTCCGTAAACATAGTACTTTAATGAGGACACATACACAACTTATTGTAACGAGTACGGTGTGCGACGGTTCTGTAACTTAAACACTTGCGGGGGGGGGAGGTGTGTGGCAGAGAAGCACCGAGAAACGAGGCGAATAACGGTCGTTCCTCTCGCGCGGCACCGCGCGGTGCGGGGACAGTTTAGGTGCCACAACGGACAGGAGTGGGGGAGGGGGGGAGCCGCCAAGCCACGCCCCCCTGCTGGAAGGTTCTCCCTGCCCGCCCACGCTCCCGGCCCCCATTCAGTCTTCGGTGACGGGTCCCTGCGGTGAGGCCGCCGCTGGTGCGCCAGCGCCCGCCGCTCCGGTCCTCCGTAGCGCTGGTTAGCACCGGTCACTGCTCCGCGTTTCCGCCTCCTCCATCAGAGTAGAGGCAGGTGGAGACACCTCGCCATTCAAGTCAAGGAAGGGTAGGCGGTCCAAACCGGGTATGCTTCCCAGTGGTGTTTGCTGCTGTCTTTACGATACTTCGTGTATCCTTTTTCTGTAATGCAAGGTGTATATATCCCAAAATTAGGTGTTGATTACATATCTTAGGTATTTAAAGGCTTTAAAAAAGGAAAAAAAAAAATCCTTCCTGATCTTTAACACACCGTGCTGAAGCACCTGAGGCGTTAAAAAGAGAAGAAAAGGGGCGGAAGAAAAACGCCAGAGGGTAGGCGCATCAGGGTGCGGCCCTTACCGGAAGCAAACCCGGTCGGGGCCGCGTTCTCCGCTCCGTAGCCAATGCCCCTCCCCCCAACACGAGCGCTCCCGATTGGCCGAACCCGGCATCCCGGAAGTGACGCTAGCCCCTCGGCCTCCCCGCGGAGCCCGGGTGCGCCTCTTCCCACGCTCCGCCCCTCGGCGCACCAAAACGAGAAAGCCGCGGCGGGGGCGGGGCCTGCGTTGGGCCAACGCCGCGAGCGCGGGGCGGGGGGCGGGGCCTTCGCGCGCGGCGCCGCCGGGTTGGGCGGCCGGGTCCGGACCGAGGCAGCCGGGCGTGGGCCCGTACATCCGCCCTCGGCCGACTGTTGAGGCGAGGCATGGAGGTGGGCTAGCGGCCGACGCGAGGCCGAGCGGGGTGAGGCCACCGGCGGGCTCGAGCGCTCGCGCGCGACTAGTGCGCGCGGGGCCGCGTGGAGTAACCGCCGCGGCGCGTGAGGCCCGGGCGGGTGGGGGAGGGGCGGCGCGAGCGGGGCCGCTTCCCTCAGGACCGCAGCGGCGCCGGAGGCGGGAGCAGCCCGCGGGCGCCTCCTGCAGCCCGGGGTCCCGGGCGTCGGGACTCCCAGCCCTCTCTCGCCGTCGTCTCCGCTGCGGTCTCATGCGAGCTGCCTTTGGTCTGGCCACTGCGTAGTTTACTTGGGGGATGAGTCGGGGGCTCGCGGGAGACAGTCTCCGTCCTCGCGCCCCGGGCCCTTCTCCCCGTTTCGGAGAGTGTGCCTGTCCCGGATGGCCCTCCGCTCCCCACCTGAAGGTGCCGGCGGCCGGCGGAGGGGCTTTGTCCGCCTCCGCGCCTGCCGGGGCTGCAAGGGGCCGAAGACGCGCTCGGCCCTGCGGGAACCGGGCGTGGGGCCTGGAGGGGGGAAGGTTAGGAGGAAGAGTCACTGGCGGACCGAGGGCTCAGTTTACCTGCTCTCGCCGATTTGGGGGGTGTTGGACGAGGTGCCCAGCTGCTCTCTGCGCAGGGACAGTCCCCCATGGAGCCGGCCCCCCTGCGGAGTCAGAAGCGCACTCGCACCTTCTTCAGACTCGGGTGCCCACGGGCAGGCTGTTAACCCCCCTGAGCCCGTGCCGTTTGACCGATTGGTACCATCTGCCTCCACTTAATAGAATTGATGAGAATGACGCTCAGATGTCGTAGAAAAACCACTTCATCAGTTTTGTTTTTCTGTTTTATTTCAGAAATGTTCTCTTGGGGCCAGAGTCTGGGTGTATGTGAGTGCAAATCCTCACCCATTCACAAATAAGCCTAGGAATCTCGACTGAGAAGATCACTTCTCTGTAGGCCATTAGCCCAGGTAATTATTTTTTAAACGTTTAAGACATTTTTCTGTCACTTAATATGCGTCAAGCACTGGAGTAGAAATATACAAAACAGATCCTTGCCCTAACAGACTCAGATGTGGTGAGGATGGAGCAGGTGGGTGGGAGACCAAAGTAAACAGCTTAAGTCAGCGCCCTAAGTGCAGTGACAGAAACATATACAAAGTTCCCAGAGGGTAGAAGAGAAGTCATCAAAGGCAGAGAGGATGGGTCACATAAGCCCCCGGATGTGGTGACACTCAGGGATGCACCGCACACAGGTAGCTCTCAACTCTTTTTATCAGAATAACGGGAAGTTTTTTTAAAAAATGGAATCTGAATTTTATATATCTCCTAAGTTATTTCGGTGACTCTGATATGCATTTAGGGTTAAGAACCAGGCAGAGGGACGGAGGGCGGGTGTTCAAGGCAGTTGAAGGAGCTTCTATAGGCAGGGAATGCCAAATACCACCATTTTAGGAAGAGCAAGTGAGGGAGAATGGCAGGAAATACCGAAGCCAGATTAGGGAGGGCCTTCTGTGGTGAGGTCAAAAATTAGAATTTTATCCCCAAACTGTAAGAATTCAAAACTCAGTTTTTGCTTTGCCCTTCAGCATTTTGGAGAAAAAATTGGTGGAAGAAACAAGAGCCAGAGACATTTAGGCTTCTGTAATCCACACAGATGGTGAAAATGTATTCTTCTAAGGCGGTGGCAGTGTCATGGAGAATAAAGTGCAGATATAATAAGGGAGATAGAGTTTATGGAATTCATGAAGATGGGGGCTAAGGGAAGGAGGGTATAGGATAATTACCAGGTAACTGATTTGAAAACTGAAGGAATCGTAATGTGAGCGTACAGGGTGAATAACAGATTTAAGGGGAGGGTTTTACTCTGTTTTTGACTTTGAGGTGCCTTTCAGGTGAGTAGAGGTTGATTTCATGCGGTTGGATATCAAATAGAAATTGTAGGTTGGGTTAGGCTGTCATTTATTGAGTGGCTCAATTACAGTTAAACATTGCATTGAGAGTTTTACATACGTTCTCAGTCTTTGGGTGGTTTCATTATAGGTAGTAAGGTAAGCAGTGGTTTGAATTAGGTTACCCAGAAAGAGGATGTCAATGAAGAGTCCTGAGTCAAACCTTTGGAAACTCTGATATTGAGAGGGAGAAAAAAAAGAAGAGGTGATAGTGAAGGAGATGAGGTCGAGGAAGTTAAAGGAGATTGGTGTGTTGTCTTAGCTAAAAAATGCATGGTCAGCATTTCTGTATGCTTCAGAGGAGGCAAGTAAAGAACGTCTGGGATTTGGTAAGACACGGCAGTGAAATGTAAGGGTAGAAGCCAGATTGTCAAGGAGTTGAGGAGGTGAATCTAGATTACTTTTTCAAGAAGTTTAGCTGAGGGCGCCTGGGTGGCTCAGTCGTTGAGCGTCTGCCTTTGGCTCAGGTCGTGATCCCGGGGTCCTGGGATCGAGCACCACATCGGGCTCCCCGCTCCAAAGCCTGCTTCTCCCCCTCCCATTCCCGCTGCTTGTGTTCCCTCTCTCACTGTGTCTCTCTCTGTCAAATAAACAAAATCTTAAAAAAAAAAAAAAAAAACTTGAGAAAGGTAGAGGGAAGTGATTGCTATTTAAAAGTTTCTGGCCAGCTAATACTGAGAAATGATATCCTCAGGACCAGTCTTTGGAAAGTCGGTCCATACTTCTGGTGAAGCATCCTATATTACTGACAAATCAGCTCTCTTCTGATGCTCAGAGTGCAGCTCTTATTTCTGTTCTGCAGTTTGAGGGTTCCCTGGACACCACCATCTGTGGCTCAGTAATAGTTCCAAGCAGTTAAAATCTGATGAAATGAAAAAAACTGACTTTCAGAAGAACTGAGTTGTGCAAAAACTTACAGGATTTGTGGTCATCTACCTGCAATTTTCCCTTAAAATAAAAATTACATTGTATACCTCATTTAGATTTTTGGGGCTTAACTATCAGGCCAGTGATGATTTTAGATTTGGGGACATAACCACCCATTTATGACCTTTCGAGAGGAATCATAGAAACTTTCTGTGTTGACATGCTCTATAGCACTATTTTCTGTAGTCTGGCACTCATGGCACTCATCTGTTATATGAGAAGAAAATTTAGTCCTTTCTGGTGTATGGAAGTAGGCTAGGTCTTTGGGTGAGTGAAACAAAAAGACTCTAATTTTCTTAATAGAAAGCATTTTTTTTGTTGGTTTTTTTGGTTAAGTGTTAGTTATTTTAAAGTTACACCAGTTTATTTGTACTTCAGATCCTTAATTTTTTCAAAGTTTTTATTGACTGCACAAATCCTGCTTAACACAACTGATGATGTTTGAGAAATCTCCGAGGAGTTTCACTTTCTATTCTTAGATCTTCTAAGTTCACTCCCCACTTTGAATTAGATCACCGGAAAAAAACAGCTTCTGCAGACTTCCAACTTCCGAGTATTTATGATTTTGGCCTTTTAGGTGTAAGAAACTCTTTTAGAATAAAATAATTTTATATTCTGCAGAACCATAATATCCGTTATATTACTTGGTATTCCCTAGTTTGCTGCACACTTGCACAAGGTGGGCATTAGTAGAATATACTTGAATTAGAATTAGAGTCAGGAAAGAGTAGGATTCTCTAGCTGAACTAGCATACTTTTTTTATTTTTCAAGTGAGGACTGTGTAACTCACATTTTTTTGCTCTGCTTTTCAGGAAGCTCCTAATTTAGGGACTTAGTGAAATTTTCTTATAAATGAGTTTTGATTTCTCCTTTTTAATGTCCTTTTCTGTATGTTTTCTTTTTTTTTTTTTAAAGATTTTATTTATTTGAGAGAGAATGAGAGAGCATGAGAGGGGGGAGGGTCAGAGGGAGAAGCAGACCCCCTGCTGAGCAGGGAGCCCGATGCGGGACTCGATCCCGGGACTCCGGGATCATGACCTGAGCCGAAGGCAGTCGCTTAACCAACTGAGCCACCCAGGCGCGCCCTGTATGTTTTCTGAATGTCCCTTTTTATATGTCCTTTTCAGCTTTAATGTTGAATGTCACCCTAATTTCTTTGCGTGAAGAAAGCATACAATTAGTACTTTAATAAATTAATTTTAAAAATTCACAAGACGGGTGCCTGGGTCGCTCAGATGGTTAAGCGTCTTGCCTTTGGCTCAGGTCATGATCCCAGGGTCCTGGGATCAAGTCCCGCATCGGGCTCCCTGCTAGGCGGGGAGCCTGCTTCTCTCTCTGCCTCTGCCTCTCTCTCTCTGGCTCTCGTGAATAAATAAAACATTAAAAAAAAATTCACAGGACATATTTGATTTTATTTATGCGTTTATATATAATCAATGGTGTAAAAAGAAAATAAGGAATTTTTTTAAAAAACAGCTTATTTTAGGAATCGACAGTATGCCAAAAAAGCCTCTGCAGTGAAATACAATTTCTATCAAGATGTCATTGATTTCCCGTTAGCAGAGATTTTGCACTCTGAGTTTAGGATGATAATGCATTTGGAAACATCACACTACCGGGTTTCTGTATCCAAATATTTAATGACTTGGTCATGTTTCTTAACCTTTTATTGTCTGTTCTCCCTCCCTGAAAGGAACATTTTAGACATTTCTTTCCTATGAATTTCCCATGAATTTTAAACCACCAGTATGTTATATATCTCTTTATGTACTTTATGCATAAAGGTAGGACTTTTTTGTGTCCCACTTAACCAGTTTTCATCTCCTTGAGGATGATGTCACCCCTGATGAGAATGCCTGGGTTAGGTCCATCGTGTTATGAAATGGACCTAGTTGTTAGTGTATAGTTTACAGTTGGGTTTGCAGCTTGTTTCCCGTTAATTAAGATGATATTTTATATTCATTGGATAGTTAATTTAAGGTCAAATTTCTGAAGAACAGTCTTGTTGGATATTTTTCTGGGCCAGTTCCCAATAAATCATCATTTTCATATGAAAGAACACTTGCTTCATTCTTCTTGGGTGTGGTTTTCTTCCTTGTTGCAGACTGGCTGATAGCTGTATAGATAATTGTCACTTTAGGTTTGTCTGATGTTTTTCTCATGAATAGGCTGGGGTTATGGGTTTTGGAGAAACATTCTATAGCACTGAAGTTCCTTCCTCAGTACATTAGGTGAGGGGTTATCAACTCGTTAAGTCTGTGTTTGCCAGATGTCTCCACTGTAATGTTACAGTATCTCCCTCCCATACTCTCTTTGGTGGTGAGTCAGCAAGTCCAGCCCACATTCAAGATGGGGTGGGATTAAGCTCCACCTCTTGGAACAGAGAGTATGTATATATATTATTTGGAATTCTTCTATAAGGAAGGTTGGTCTCCCACATTTGTTTATTCATGTAGTCATTTATTTATATCCCTGTGGACTCAGGTGTATCTATATTCTGGGTTATAATCCACAATTACATTGTTATTTTGTTGGTCAAATTGTTTCAGCTTTGGCCATCCAGAGCTCTTTGAGGTTGGCTCCAGTGTTCCTTTGACACGCCCACATCCTTTTGTATTTTGAGTATTACCAGGCTCACCTTGTATTTTTGTTTAGTCATAATACATTGTTTACTGATGGTAAGCTTTGTATTTACCTTTGTATGCATTTAGTTAGGAATAAAAATATAGCATCTTATTTTTATTACACCTCATTGGAATTGGAGATCTCTTTGGATTTTGGCTACCATCCTATTTGCTAACCCACCCAGTTCCATACCATCTGTAGTTCTGATAAACCTGCCTCATTCGTGTATCTTTATTCAAACCTTTGACACATTTGGTTCTTGGGATTTCCTCGTTTCCTGGTACCTTCCTGTTACTTTGCTCTTTTTGAGACTGCTAGGATTTGGAAAATTATCTTAACCCTTTCACATGAGTTTGGATGGTGGAGGCTCTGATGTTATTACAGAAACGAAAAGTTGGAGATAGTAAAAAATGTTAAGTATTGAACTTAGTAGCAGTAGGTTGTTAACATTTGTAGCTGTTACAGCTTACAGTGGGGTTCATAGACACCCTGTGCAGATTCTTGTATCTCTACTTTCTAAACCAGAGAACTCTCTTTTGAGTTTTGTTACTGGTATAGATTAATACTTACAGATTTTTATATTTCCACGGATTTCTGGAAAATTGTCTTCTAGGAATGTAAAGGTTCTCTGAACTTTTGACTTGGCTCCAGTACATCACTAGAATACTCCAAAATCTATACTTTGAAGACCTTGATAAGTTTTTGTCTCTGTAATTTTCCATCAGTACTACACAGTTTCGAGCTTTTTCTATAGTACAGGTGTGTATTGTGTGATTTTTTTTTACTAACAAAGTGCTTTCGTTTCATATTTTTTATGTGTCAAAGATAAAGTTGTTAAGAGTGAGTTCAGATTTGAGTTTAGTCAGTAATTGATAAGCTGACCAGGAGAACATTCTCCATGTGGTGGAGGCACATTTTAAGTTGGAGACGAGGGTCACACAGGAGAGGCCTGAAGTGTTGTTATTTTTCTTTAATCTTTAGATATTGTCTCTTCTGGATACAGGTGCAGAATGAGCACATGTTGTTGGTGTACGCCAGGTGGCATTTCCACCGTTGACTTCCTACAGCGCTATGCATCCGAGACCCACTCCAGTGAGTTTCAAACAGCTGATGAAGACCTCTGCTACTGCTTAGAGTGTGTGGCCGAATACCACAAAGCAAGGGATGATTTACCATTCTTGCATGAGGTAATTTACATTTGATGGACAGTACTTTTCAGAGCTTGATTACGAGGAAGAGGAGAAACCTGAACTCTTTTGGAAGCATTCAGGAAACAGGATTGATGGATGGAATTGAATTGAAACCTTAAGTAGAATTTTAGGATCCCTCACTTTTAGTCATCGTGATATAAAACAGTTTTATGAAATGACGTATGGGGTTTTTTCAGTTTATGTTTTTAAGTCTGTATATTTGACAGTGTTACATTCATGTATCTGAATGGCTTGGGTTATTTTATTGGTTGATTCTTCTCTTTTCATTTTTTAATGGATAAATGGTATAAACTTCTAAGGGCAGGTGTATTTGCTGGTCATCGTAAACAAAGTGAAACATATTTTAAATATGTGGCTTTGAATATTTGGTTTATTACATGAAAAACACAATCAGACTGTAGAGGTATGTGCAGATATATAGAAAGGAGGAGAGGTTGATTAGTTATGAATCTGTTGAGAAAACCTTTGCTAAGTTTCCTAGTTACGAAGCTAACCAGTGTCTGTGCTAAAGCTAATGTTTTAAGGTGGGTACCTATGGCTGGACCATGGAAGTGAAGACAGAGAAGGCCTGGTCATGCCTTTGACAGAGAAGCTCCAACTTCTCATCCCCCCGTTTTTGGGGGAGTGGGCGTGGAGCCCAATGCAGGGCTTAAACTCCCGACCCTGAGATCAAGAGCTGGAGGCTTAAGGTGTCCCATCATTCCCTTTTTAATAGTTGCTAAGGGATGTTGAGATATTTATAGCAAAACTCTTCAAGGGCAGTGTTTACACATTTTACGTTGTATGTACTCCTATATCATAAAAGTGACCTTATTTAGGGACTGTTTTCTTCAAATCTCATGCGGTGTCTATTCTTTAAACTTCTGTTAGAAAGCTTTCTAAAAAGATCATGACATCCAGTGTTTTGTTGATAATAAGGTATAAAGCGCACTGCCCATTTTTCTTTTTCTATAGGTTTTATGGGAATTAGAAACCTTACGTCTCATAAATTACTTTGAAAAATCCATGAAGGCAGAAATTGGAGATGATGATGAGTTGTATATAGTAGACAACAATGGAGAGGCACAACTGTTTGACTTTACCGGCCAAGACTTTGAAAATAAGCTTCGAGTTCCTCTTCTTGAAATACTGAAATATCCTTACCTGCTTTTACATGAGCGTGTTAGTGAGTATCATGGGTGTTCTACAAGTTTTATCAGTCTTTTTTAAGAATTGTAAAAGCTTAGTTTTATCTGTATTGAAAATCTGCTTGTTAAACATGTAATTAGGATACTTCGTACTTTCTCCCAACATTTTAGTATGAAAGTTTCCAAACATACAGAAGAGTGAATGATATGCTGAACACCATATATGCATCATGTAGATTCTCCAGTTGCTAACATCTTACTGTATTTGCTTTATCACACATTTACTCATCTATCTTTCAGTTAATTTTTGTTCTTGTAATTTGTCTATAGCAGAGTTTTTCAACGTTGGCATATTGATATTTTGGACTGGATACTTCTTCATTGTGGGGGCTGTGCTGTCCATTGTAGGATGTTTAGCAGCATCCCTGGCCTCTATCCACTAGATGCCAGTAGCCCTCCGCCCTTCCCACTACGCATGTTGTGATGACAACCAGGCTGTCTCCACATATTGCCAGATGTCCCTTAAGCCTTGGGGGGGGGGCGCCATGGAGGCAAAACTGTCTGTGGTTGAGAACTACTGATCTGTAGTAATTTTCACTAATTACCAAGGTGTGGCATATTATTTATTGGTGCCTAGATTTGGTTCATGTATATTTGCATTTCTTAACATGAATCTCATGAAAGTGAAGACATTTTTGTGATCTAACAAAATAGCAATACCTTTCCTCCTCCCAAATAACAGTACCTTCAAGCTGCCTAGTATCTAGTCCATATTCAGATTTTCCCAGTAGTTGCAAAATGAGGTTTTTGGCTGGTTTGTTTAAATAAGAACCAATCAGGGACCATATGTTGCCTTGGTTCATATTTTGTACATCTCTTTGAATCTAAAACTGTCAATTTGTACACATACACACTTTTTTTTTTTTTTGCCATAACGTTGCCTCATTGAGACCATATAGTTACCCTGTAGAATAATGTATAATGCACTTTCTGGATTTTTTAGATTGCTTACGTGTGATGTTATTTAACTTCTTTATTCTCTGTATTTTCAGTAAACTGAAAAGTAGATCTAAAGATTTGGCTAGATATATCAAATTCTTTCTAAATGAGTTTTAAATAATTAGGTTTTAAAATTCTAACAAGTCAATTTTCAAGCATTTATTAATGGATACTTTGTCCAAGAAAAGTACATAAATGATGATTTTTCACCAAACACACCTATGTAGCCAGCACTCAGAACAAGAAACAAACCATCAATACCCAAGCACTTCCTTCGTGCTTTTCCTGTTATCACTGTTTCCCAAAGCCATCCTCCGTCACTAACAATATTCTTTGCAGTTTGAGAAAGTAAAGTTGATTGAATAGGTAGGGTAAATGTAGTAGTCTATTCAGGACACTTCTGAAAGGGTAGTGTAGAGATTTCCATAAAGTAGCAGGAATCAGAACAGTGTAAGCATAGATAGACTTAGGGAACTGCATTGAGTCCAGAAATGAACCAGCCATATTTGGGAAGCTTGTTTGATGATGGTAGCTTTTCAAACCAGTGGAGAAAGTGTATTAGTCAGTAAATGAGAGTAGGACAAAATAGCCATTTGAGGGGAAAGCTCACTTTATCACTAGTACTAAATAAAGTCCATGTGGATCAAAATGTAAAATGCTAATGGAACTGGACTGATACGCATACTTCTAAGAAGATAACCTATGGGTATAATTATGCCAAATGTAAGAAAAAATGTGTATACCAGTAAAGTCAGGGTAGTTTATAGGAACACACCATGATCAATCACCCTAGTCTTTCAGATAGGTAAATATTGTTACACGATCAGCATTTTTAATGTTTCATTTAAAAAAAAAAAAAAAAGGAAAGGAACAACTTTATTTACTTACAGAACAACCAAAGGAGCCATATTTAGGGGGTCTTGATAAGCTGATAAGATTTATGTCTTTTATTTACTGGCTTATTTTTTTTTTTTAGATGAATTATGTGTTGAAGCACTTTGTCGGATGGAACAAGCTAATTGCTCCTTTCAGGTTTTTGACAAACATCCAGGCATCTATTTGTTTCTGGTCCATCCCAATGAAATGGTGAGTATGAGTAGTAGGCAATGAAAGGATGTATTTTTTTGCGCATATAGGTAGCTATAATAGAGGGTTTGGGTGTATATTTTGTTTAAAATATTAAACTGTTAAAAATGTATAATCACACCCCTCAAAAGGTAAATGTTTCTGGGAGCAGCAATGGAGCAGAAACACAGAGTGATAAACAGTGGAAACCTGTAGGCCTGGGTAGCTGTAGGTAGCCGGGGATACAGTTTGTCAGGATAACAGAATTCCAAGTGTACTCCAGGCAAGGCAGAGGACCAGGGTCAAGGCCTGTGCTCAACATAAAGGTGAGATTCCCCTGCCTGTGAAAGAAAATGGACAAAGTATAGCCAGGTGCCCTCTGGGCCTGGCCTTTTACAGCTGCATAGCAATAGAGGAAGCAGGTCCAGCCGAGCCTACAGGACCTGGGCCAAGCCCTCACAGGCTTTGTGACTGAGTCTTTAGTATCCTTTAAGTGACCAGTGGTTGGGAGTCCTGAGCTGCTGGTGTTAGACTGCTGATGAAGTCCTTGAGAGAGAAGAATTCAGAAGATGTTGTCAGGAATATATAAAGTTGATTGAATACTGTGGTAAAGTTTATTATTTAAAAAAAACCCACTAAGTTCAAGGAAAGTGAATATATCAATAATAACTTGAACTAGGTGGTATTAACGTGATGAGGTTGGCAGGCAAGGAGACGAAAGATGTGAGAGCATGCACGTGAGGTTCTCATCTGGTTAAGGGCAGAGCTAGGTAGTGAATTATCTTAAATAATGAATTTAGAAAATGCTTTAAAAGAAATAGAAAAAGTTCATACATATAAACAGGTTTAAAGATACCTTTTTGTAAAAAGTTTGTGCAAAAAGTTGATGTAAGAGATGGAAAAACAACTAATAGGCAAATACTGACCTAAACAAAAGTGGTGAAGCTATTGTAATAAATAAAGTAGACATTTGGATAAGGATGGATAAGGTTACTACATAATAAAAATTCAATTCATCAAGACCATATAGTATTTTTAAACAAGTAATGCTGGTTAAAATAGGCTCAAATAAATGATAACACAGTTATTGGTAGAACTACAGGAAGGGATAGTAGACTCATTATTGTAAAAGATTTCCGTGTCCTCTTTTTCAGTATTGAATCAGTAGATCAATAAAGACCCCAGCAAGGAAGGGAATATGTATATAAGGTAGTTTACAAACGTAATCTGATGAATATATATGTGAACTGGGCATCTAACCATTTTTTCAAATACATGTTGAACATGACAAAAGTGATCACATACTAAGCCATGATAAATGTTTCAGCACATTTCAAGGACTACCATGATCTCTGATCATAACGCAATTTAGATAGAAGTTGATGAAAAGATAAATGAGTTTCCACATTTTGAAATTAACATATGCTAAAAAAGAAATCATCAAGACTTAAGAAGACCCAGAACCGAATCCTAATGAAGATGTTACATAAAAAAATTATAGGATGTAGCAAAAGAGGTGCTTTCAGGGAAATTTATAACTTTAAGTAATTATAGAAATAAAGAAAGCTTCAAAATTTATGAGCTGGTTTTTCAGAATAGATTATCCTGATTCTATGTATGTCCTTCCAGAAAAAGAATACTCTTAAATTTATTCTATGAAGCAGGTAACAAGATACAAATAACAAAAACATAATAACATAAAAACATAAATAATAAAAAGACATAACAAAAACAAGATACCTAAAACATTAAGGGTAAATGATGGTCATTAATATGCAAAGATCTTAAAATATTAGAAAATCTATAAATAGAATTTCACCTTACTAACAAGTTATAAAACTCATATGGTTGATTGGATGCATTTGATAAAATTCAGCACCCATTCAGATTAAAAATGCTTATTAGCACATTAGGAATGGAAGGGAATTCTATAAGCTGATGAGTTGTATCTGTAAAAAACCTAAAGGAAACATTATCCAAATTGACTAACTTTTAGTGAGGCATTCCCTTTAAAATCAGAAATAGACAAAGGTGCTCACTATCACCACTTTTTGTAGAGTGTTAAGTTGGGGTTCTAGTCAATGCAGTAAAAAAAATTAGAAAAATTAGAGGCATTAGAATTTGAAAGGAAGAAGTAAAAATGACATAATTTGTAACAATAAGATCATTTACTTAGGAAACCCCAAAGAATCTACAAGTTTTGAGAAATAAGTGTTTAACAAGGTGATTATTTACAGAAGTCTGGTATTTCTGTACACAGCCAGCCAAAAATTAATAAAGATAAATTTCCATTTATTACAGGTTCAGAAAATACTAAATACCCAGGCATAAATCTAACAAAGATATGGAACTTCTACAGGAAAATCATAAAACTTAATTAACACATGAAAGAGAACCTAAATAAGTAAAGATCCTGTGTTTTTTGTTTTGTTTTGTTTTTAAGATTCTATTTATTTGAAAGAGAGAAAGACAGCAAGAGAGGGAACACAAGCAGGAGGAGTGGGAGAGGGAGAAGCAGACTCCCAATGGAGTAGGGAGCCCGATGCGGGGCTCAATCCCAGCCCCCTGGGATCATGACCTGAGCCAAAGGCAGGCGCTTAACAGTTGAGCCACCCATGTGCCCCTAGACCCTGTGTTGATAAATATAAGAAAGCTTAGTAATAGAAAGATCTGTCAGTTTGCCTCAGATTTATAGATTCAGAGTGTTTTTAAATAAATTCCAGCAGGGTTTTAAATGTAACATGTTAAGATGTTTCTAAAATATGTATATGGAAGAGGAAGGATCCACAGTTGCCAAGACATTTCTGAGGATGAGGGAGACTTACTACGAAGCTCTGATAGTTACAATGTGATATTGATGTGCAGACAGATGCTTTGGCCAGTGGTATAGAATAGAGTCTCAAACAGACTCACTCCTATTTAGATCTTTGGTATTTGATAGAGATGATGCATCAGATCAATGGGGAAAAGAAGGACTGGAAATGGAAGTGATACAAAGGTATCTCTATGGAGAAAATCATATTTTTAAGTCATATACTTAAAACATCAAGTATTTAAACACTTCAGGTTAAATGTCAAAAATTAAGGGGCGCCTCGGTGGCTGAGTCGTTACGCGTCTACCTTTGGCTCAGGTCATGATCCCAGGGTCCTGGGATTGAGCCCCGCATTGGGCTCCCTGCTCCGCGGGAGGCCTGCTTCTCCTTCTCCTACTCCCGTTGCTTGTGTTCCCTCTCTCACTGTGTCTCTCTCTGTCAAATAAATAAATAAAATCTTTAAAAAAAAAAAAAAAAGTCAAAAAATGGCCAAACGCTTGGCGGGAAATACAGGTATCTATCACTGAGATTTTAAGGAAGGAAACCATTGGTTATAAAAGGAAGGCTGATAAACATGACTATATCAAAATTAAGAACTTTTATCAAAAGATATCTTAAAGTGAAAAGACCAGTTAAAAATTGGGAGAAGCTGTAAACAACACTAACAAAACCCCAAAAGAAAAGTGGAAGAACACCTGAACAGGCATTTCCCAGAAGAGGAAGTTCTATGGCTATTAGACATATGAAGGACAATTTGACATTAATGACAGGGAAATAGTAAAACCACAGTGAGTATTGTGTAGTGTGTGCTAGTTTGAGGCTATAAGTATTAGGATGTGGATCTGCAGGACCTCATTGCTGGTAGGAGTGTAAATTGGGGCAGCACCTTGGAGATTAGTTTGGCTTCATCTAAATTTGAACATTCCTATGTCCCATGATCTAGCAGTTTCTTTTTTTTTTTTTTAGATTTTATTTATTCATAAGAGACAGAGAGAGAGAGGCAGAGGGAGAAGCAGGCTCCCCGCTGAGCAGGGAGCCCAATGTGGGACTCGATCCCAGGACCCTGGGATCACAACCTGAGCCGAAGGCAGATGCTTAACTATCTGAGCCACCCAGGTGCCTGATCTAGCAGTTTCATTCCTGAGTGTGTATGTAAGAGAGATACTCTTGATCATTTGTAACTGGAGGCATATATAAGAAATTCCATAGCACACTACTTAGAATTCACAAAAACCTGCAAACAACTGGGATGCCTGGTGGTGGGGGAGTCCATGAATAAACTGTGAAGTATCTTCACATGGGAATATCATGTAGCAATCTAAACAAACTATCAACTTGAAACAAAATAGGTGAATCCTGGTAATGTAACATGAAGTGAAATAAAGTTTCAGAAGATTCCATATAGGAGGAAACCCTTTTTATAAAGTTAGAAATAAAATGAATATTTACAGGTAGATACCACAACTATATAAAAAATAAGGGGATGAAGAACATGGTATTCGAGATGATGGTCGCCTCAGGTTGGAAGGGGCAGGAAGATGGGGGGGATGGGCACCATATAGTTAGATGCATGTTACAGTAAAGGGGCCTTAGTTTTTGTGTTGGATGATGAGTTTATGGATGCATGTTGCATTAATAAAAATTTAAATTTAAAAGGCTACGCATGGACCAAAGATAAAAAGTGTGTCGTGAATAAAAGGTTATAGTCTCATTCTGAAGTTTTATTCCCTAACCCTCATCCAGAAAAGATGTCAGCAAAAGACTTCAATTTCTGGCAGTGTAGTGTCTCTATAAACTGAAAAATGTCCCTCCTCCAAAATACATCCCCAAAAGGGATGGAGGGGGAATGCTGAAAAGGCAGGGCGCAGTGGGAAGGTCTAATCTCAGTTCGCTCTGTTGGAGAAGGAAAGAATCAGGGCATGATAAAGAGGTGACGGTGCGTTGTTTTTCAAAGTCAGTGAAAAACACAGATAAGCATGCTCACAGGTCCTGAGGCGGAGAAATAAAAGAAAAACCCCCACCAACGTGCACTGTAGTAATACTTCAGGACACTAAAGACAGAAAGGCTTTAAAGGAGCCGGAGAAAAGACTACATACGAGAGAGCTGCAGTTAGCTTCTCAGTCACAGGAATAAAACCGACGATGGAACAGTGTCTTCCCTGTGCTGAAGAAGGGTAGCTGTCCATCTAGAAGCAAGTGCCCGAGAGAGGGTGAAATAAAGACCTTTCAAACAGCTGGGGTCCTTTACCACCAACAGTCTGTGCAAAGTCAGCGTCAGCCTTTTCATTGTTAGCGGAATCCTAAGTATTACATGACATACTGCTTTCTTGGATAAAGGCTTTTCATGACCGTGAATATTCAGGTCTGCTGTGTTTCGGGTGCAGTATTGTGTAGTTTCCGGATGTTAACTCATTAAAACCTTACAGCCCACATTTCATAGATGAGGAAACTGAATCAGTCACACACACTAGCATGTGGTGACCAGGGTGTGTAGATAGGCAGTCGGGCTCCAGAGCCCCTAGGTTTGGTTTTGTTTTTTTAACTGGAAGTACTTTCCCACTTTCAGAAAATTCTCAGGAATAAAAATAGTAGAAAATACCTGTATCATCTTAAGCCATATTCACTAATTGTTAGTGTCTCCATTTGCTTTATCATTTGCTTTCAAGTGACACAGCTTTTTTTCCTGAACCATTTGAAAGTCGGTTGCATCCCTCTGTGTGCTTTGCTGCTAAATACTTCATGTGTATCTCTTGAGAAGAGGCTCTTCTCTTTCTGTAAGGACAGTGTTACAAGCTTCAGTGAATTTCGCACTGATTTAGTAAAAGTCTGTCTTCCAGCTGTACCATGCACTCTCCAGTGTTCTTCGTAGTGTTTCCCCCCTGTGCTCCAGTATCCGGGCCAGGATCAGCTCTTACACGTAGTTATGTTGCTTGAGTCTCGCTTCATCTGGACTGTTGTTTCCTCAGCCTTTGTCTTTTATGACATTCTGAAGAGTACTGTCATCCCTGTCCCCGCACCTTCTATCTATCTATTTATTTATTTATTAAAGATTTTATTTATTTGACAGAGACACAGCGAGAGGAGGAACACAAGCAGGGGGAGTGGGAGAGGGAGAAGCAGGCTTCCCGCCAAGCAGGGAGCCCAGTGTGGGGCTTGATCCCAGGACCCAGGGATCACGACCTGAGCTGAAGGCAGACGCTTAACGACTAAGCCACCCAGGTGCCCCTCCCCGCACCTTTTAAAAAATAGAATGCTCCTCATTTTTTGTTTGTCTAATGCTTCCTAGTTGTTAGTGTCAAGCTATGCATTCCCAGCTGGGGTACTCCATAAAAGTGATGTGATGTCCTTCTCAGAGTGTCCTATACAGACACACATCATATCATTTGCCCTTTGTGGTTATGTTAATTTTGATCAGCTAGTCAAGGTGTTGTCCAGTTTCTTCACTGTGTAATTTCTGTTTCTTAGATACTGGAGATCACAGAAATGCCCTGCTCCTCACCAGAGTTTTCTATTTTTAGTGCTAACTGATGCTTTTGCCTGAACCAGTTTTTCTAAGATTGTGAAGTAATTTTCCCATCCAGCACTCAACACATTTACCAGTTAACACGTGACATTGATTGTACTAGAACCAGGAGCTTTTGCCTTTCTCTCATTTTTTTTACCTATTTATTACCAGTATGGATTCATGCATTCCTTTGTGTCTTTTCCAAAAGTTTAAAATTCATTACTTATGTTGGCATAGAGCCAGTCCATTCCTATGTCCATTAGCTCTGCTTTTCAAACTTTTTTGACCATAACCTATGATAAAAAGTGTTTTTCATTGAGTACACATAACATATGCATATGTGACGCAGACATTTCCCAAAATAGTAGTCCTAACATGCAGGATGCACGCTGATATTTTTCTGTCTATTTTATTAGTTTTTTAAGGTTGGTCATGATTACTGAATTTAATTCATAGCTTACAAGAAAATTTTTTAAAGATTTATTTATTTTAGAGAAGGAGCGAGGGGGGTGGAGCTTGGTTGTGGAGGGACAGAGTGAGAGGAAGAGAGACTCTTAAGCAGACTCCACACTGAGTGCAGAGTCCGATACAGGGCTCTGTCTCACGACCCTGAGATCGTGACCTAAGCCATAACCAAGAGTTGGATGCTTAACCGACTGTACCACCCAGGCACCCCTTGCCCACGAGAAATTTAAAATCACTTGCCTATGCTATATTGACATTTAGAGGTGACTTTTGATTTCTGAGGCTCCACTTTTTTCCCCCCTCTTTTAACTTTCTATTAGGAAAATTACAAACATACAAAAGTAGAATGATATAGTGAACCCTTATATATCCATCAATGAGCTTTGTGAGTTATCATTACATAGCCAATATTCTATATCCCTTTGGATTACTTAGAACAAATCTTAGACGTCAGAGCATTTCATCCATAAAATACTTCAGTATGTCTCTAAGGATAATGACTTTTTAAAAAAAATTCGTATCACCACACCTAAAATAATTCCTTAATATATTTCTTTTTTTTTTTATGAAAAAAGATTTTTATTTGTTATTTGAGAGAGAGCGCAAGCAGGGCGAGCTGCAGAGGGCGATGGAGAAGCAGGCTCCCTACCAAGCAGGGAGCCTGAAAGGGGCTTGATCCCAGGATCCTGGGATCATGACCTGAGCTGAGGGCAGATGCTTAACTGAGTGAGCCACCCAGGTGCCCCTATATATTTCTAATCAGTGGTTAAGTGATTATCTCATAAATGCTTTCTTAGGGTTCAAATCACGATAAAATAATATGGTCTAAGCATTGCGTTACTAGTATCTTAGGCAGTTCCTTAACTGACTGAGCCACCCAGGCATCCTGTATCTTAGGTCTTTTAAAATCTATAGAGAATCCTGTTTTCTTAACTAGGTTCTTGCTGCATGTAGACAATTATTTGTTGAATGAAGTAGTGAACATGTTATGCCTTTAGGTTCGGCGTTGGGCTATCCTGACCGCAAGAAATTTGGGAAAAGTGGACAGAGATGATTATTATGACTTGCAGGAGGTTTTGACTTGCCTTTTTAAAGTCATTGAATTGGGGCTTTTGGAAAGTCCAGACATTTATACTTCTTCTGTTCTCGAGAAGGGTAAACTGATTCTTCTGCCCTCACACATGTACGATACCACCAACTACAAAAACTATTGGTTAGGTAAGTACTGTTCCTACACAAATATAACTAGTATTTTTCATAATTCTTAATGAGTATCCTGCAAAGGAAGTGGTTTCTTGGTGATCTGATCAAGGATTTCATAGTTCCCAATTCTTGTTCTGTTGTTAAATTGACTTAGCCATTACACATCCTGTTTTTAAACATTATTTATCCTAGAAACCATCTTTGTAAGAGGTACATGTTTGAGTATGGCAACTAAATCTTTTATTTAAAGCAATACTATATATAACAAGATAATAGTATAACAGTTGACTTTAATGGGATTTGATATATTTTAAAGAGATTTTCCCATCTGTAAAATATTCCCTGGCTGAAAGAGATAATAGCTTTGGTTTTTCAACAAGTTCTACACTGACTCAAAATAGTTCTACCCTACTTTACTGATTCTGAGTCTTACAGTCATGTGTCATATTTGGCAGTGATGAGTACTCAAAATATGGTGATCTTAAAATTGGAGGCACCTTAGATTTGAGGAAATACAAATTGTGTGGTAGTCAACAGAGCAGTTGTTTTCTAACCAGTTCGTACCATTTTCCCTTTTTACTTTCAAGTCAGTCTAAAGTCCTGTTACTTGGGAGCAGTTGTGTATGACTGTCTCAGACTTAAATGTTTGAGGAACTGGATACTGGTTTGCTTCATTTTACCGCGTTGTTATTTTTTTTATAATTTTTTTAAGGATTTTTATTTATCGAGAGAGAGAGAATGATAGCATGAGAGGGAGGTGGGTCAGAGGGAGAAACAGACTCCCTGCTGAGCAGGGAGCCCAATGCGGGACTCGATCCCAGGACTCCAGGATCATGACCTGAGCCGAAGGCAGTTGCTCAACCAACTGAGCCACCCAGGCGCCCTCGCCTTGTTACTCTTTTGCCAACTAAGCCAGAGAAGGCATGAGAGCAGTGTTACTTAAGTCAAGAAAACGTTTGTCAATGATCTTACAGGTATTTGCATGTTGCTGACCATTCTGGAGGAGCAGGCCATGGACTCACTATTGCTGGGCTCAGACAAACAGAATGATTTTATGCAATCAATACTTCACACCATGGAGAGGCAAGCAGATGGTAATAGCCTTTATTTGCTAAATGCTTTTGAATACTGTGATGTGCCCTTTTAAAATACTAGTGTCATTGCAAGAATTTGGGTGTATGGTGTGGACAAAAAAAGAACGTTTGTATGGTTAAGTCATGAATTTAGATTTTTAAATTGGAAGGGACTTCTAGAGTTTAATTTCAGCACCTTACTTTCATAAAAGAGCAGACTGAAGCCCAGGGAAGTTAACTTACTGTTTCATGTTGAAATGCCCAGTTAGTGGTAGAATCAAGACTAGCAGGGGGCGCCTGGGTGGCTCGGATGGTTAAGTGTCTGCCTTCGGCCCAGGTCATGATCCCAGGGTTCTGGGATCAAGCCCCACATCGGGCTCCTGGCTCAGCGGGGAGCCTGCTTCTCCCTCTTCCTCTGCCTCTCTCCTTGCTCATGCTCTCTCTCTCTCTCTGTGTGTATCTCTTTGTCTCAAATGAATAAATAAAATCTAAAAAAACCCCAAAAAACTAGCAGATAAATTTCTAATGACATGGTAGTTAAAATTGTGGAGAAAGCCTTCCCTGTCCTAGGGTCTTCCTTTTTCCTGGTTCTTCATTTCACTTTGGTTCTCTAGGGTTCCACTGTCCAGCATGGTGACTGTTAGCCAAATGTGGCTATTTAAACTTAACTTAAAATTAAATAAAGAATTCAGTTTTGCAGTCCCACAAGCTATACTTTGAGTGCTCAGTAGCCACATGTAGTTGGTAGCTACTGTATTGACCAGTGTAGATAAAGAACATTTCCATCAGCGCAGAAAGCACTCTTGGACAGTGGTGTTCAGATAGTCTAGAAAACAGGGTGTAAAACTTGTAGTCATGTTTATTATTAGGCCCTCACTTTCTTCTGCTCGTGGTTGTATCAGGCTGATCAGGGAGGATCTGTACTGAATATTTCTCATCTTGATGAAGGAGTAAATAAAGATCAAGGATGCCAGATCCTATGAAAATAGAATGAATCATTTTTCTCCCACATTCACTTCTCTTTAGACAACTCCAGCGTGGATATAAAGTCATTTGTGCAAGATTCTAAAAGAGCTATGTAAATGTTACTCTTTTGTGGGGGGGGCAAGGGGCTCATATTTACCACAGTTGGGAGGCCAGTTGGAGAGGAGGTAGCAGGTGGCATAGCCACCTTATACAGCATACCATCGTGGTCCACCATCAGATCAGCGATGGCCTCAGTTCCATCACCCCCCAGGCTGACTCTGGCTCCTGCCTGACTCTGCCTGGCCACCACAACCCCTCGGGACCATTCGGAGGCATCACTGGAGGGTGTGTGGTTAGTTGAGCAGCTGGTAGTTCTCTCCGTATCCTCACTGGTCACATTTCTTTGGTGGAAGGCATTCCTGACTCCTCTCATGGACAGGCTTCATATTGCTTTGTGGTGTTCCTGGAGCCTGGATGGGGTCGGCTTGTTCCTTGGGGCATCAGAAGGGGCTTTTCTGTGGCTCCCCTGCACCCATCTCTGCTGCTGGCTGGGGTGCCCACATCTGCTGAGCTTCCTTTAGTACCTCTGAGCGGCTGTAGTAAGAGGCAGTGACCTCCCTGTTGCCTCGGGAGCCGGCCCATCTCACAGCGCTCCTTCTGCTCATCCCGGAGCCGCCTCGACCATGGCCACCACCATCCCCAGCCCCGGTGCCACCCCACGCCCAGTGCCCCCCGAGTGTTACTCTTTTTGTGATCACATACATTTTCTTGCTACATTATTCTTAAAGTTATTACTAATTCATTTACCAGCATTTACTACATTAATAGTTCATTTCTTTGTGCCTTGCCCATACAATTCTGTCTTCTCCGTTAATCCAGCTCCCCTAACATTCTTCAAAAGAGGAGTCACCTCTTTAAGAAGGCTTTCATAATGGTCTTCAAACTGACAACTTTGTTCCTTACTTGAGAGCTTACCGGGCATAAGACACTGTATCAGCTGCAGGAAAGGACAAGAAAGTGTGTGAGAAGGTTTACACAAATGCCTGTGGTAAAGCAAATAGAGTTTAAGAGCCCTGAAGGAAATACAGCAGAAAGTTCTAGGTGACCAGATAACCTATCAGTAACAGTGAGTGGGAGCACCTGTGTCCAGAAGAGTGCTAGAGAAGAGTAAGTGACCACGGAATGTTTGATGTAGTAGGAGCATTTGTGCTGGGCTTGAGGATGGAGGATTCTGAGAGGTGGTGCTAATAGTGAAGGCATTCTGGTTCTTACTTGGGAAAAAGCCAGCTGTTTTTGCTGTAGATAGGGTGTGATTATGGGAGTGTGCAAAGTAAAGCTGGAAAGAAACAATAGAGTAGGATCTTACAAGTAAGTGCATGACTGAGGACTTTGAATTTTCTTGGAAGACATTAAAGAGCAATTGGAAGGCTTTTGAGTAGGGCAGTATTTTGCCACTGCATATCTGATAGAGGGGAGGGAAAGGACTGGAGGTAAGAGCTTCTCAGTAGTGGGAATTCCTGCCATTTGGATGAAAAGTAGATAACAAAGCCAAGTTGACATATGGATGGATGAAGGGTGTGTGTATCTGCTTAGCCTAATATTAGCTAAGGGATTCAGTTCTTCACAGCAGCCAAATGGCACACGTAATTCAGATCATGCTAAAAACCAGAATTTCTTGTGTCATGGGCTTTGTTTGGTAGGAAGGGTTGTTTCAGGTATGGCAAACAGGGTGAGAGAGGTGAGTTTACCTAGGCTCTCAATTTGTTCCCCATTAAAAAAATTTCCTAGGGGTGTATAGGATTGCTTGAAAAAAAAATGCAAAATCAGCTTTAAAGTTTACTAGGTTTTTAAAACCTGTGGTTGGCAGCACTTTATTTTAAATTAGCTACTTTGAGTTCAATTTTTTTCCTACCCAAAGAATGCTTCATTCTCAGTATGTTTTAGCATCTTTTTCTGATCATTTTGTAATCCAGCAATTGCTCCACTGTATTTCAGATGATAGTGTGGATCCTTTTTGGCCAGCATTACACTGTTTCATGGTGATTCTGGATCGCCTTGGATCTAAGGTCTGGGGTCAGCGTATTGATCCTATTGAGGCATTTCAAACCATTATCAACAATGTGAGCTACAATAAAGAGATCCAAAATATACGGAACAGCTCTGTAAGGTTAGTTCAGTTAATGTGTCAGTATTTTAAAATAATCTCAGTGAGGAAGTCTTTTGTAACTGACTTAGCAATAGGATTTTTTCCTTTTTGCTTTTTTTTTTTTCATTTCAGTAATTTCTGTTTATTCTTACTCTTTAAGGACCAAGTTAGAACCGGAATCATATTCGGATGATGCCACTTGCAGCCAGATTGTATACAATTATAATCCCGAAAAGACCAAAAAGGTATAAAACAGGTTGAGAATTCAGATGATCCTGTATTGCCTTTATATTGTGTAGGCGATGTTGTACATAACTAGTTGAAGTAGTGATGTTATGATACATAGCTATTCTGAATCCACTGCCGCATAAGGGGTTTCTGATTGAACAGATATACATGGGGAAGATGCACTCTCACTACAGGGTGCACAGTTTGGAAGATTAAGGGCAGTTAGGAAGGGTGGAAAGGTTACAGGTTGAGGGAGATAAGTGACATGACTGGAATCGAAACCTGCTAATGGAAAGAAGATGAGGTGTACTCGTGAATCCTTGACCTCGACATTGACCTATGTTTTCCATTTTTGGGGCATATATGTGAACCAAAATAGGAAAACTAAGCGATATATTGTTTAATAGCTATGCATTAAATCCGTCATGAATTCTGTTTGCTTATCTAATGTCAGTATTTCTTTCATTTTAGGATTCAGGGTGGAGATCAGCCATTTGCCCAGATTATTGTCCTAACATGTATGAAGAGATGGAAACATTAGCCAGTGTGCTTCAGTCAGATATTGGTCAAGACATGCGTGTTCATAACAGCACCTTTCTGTGGTTCATCCCTTTTGTTCAGTCCCTCATGGATCTTAAGGATTTGGGTGTGGCTTATATAGTAGAGGTTATTCATCATCTGCACTCCGAAGTCAAGGATGTCCTCAACCAAACAGATGCCATGTGTGACAAAGTTACTGAATTTTTTCTTCTGATTTTGGTGTCCGTGATTGAGCTGCATAGAAATAAAAAATGTCTGCATTTGCTGTGGGTTAGTTCCCAGCAATGGGTAGAAGCCGTTGTAAAATGTGCCAAGCTACCTACCACTGCATTTGCACGGAGTTCTGAGAAGTCATCTGGAAATTGCTCCAAAGGAACAGCAATGATATCATCTCTGTCATTGCATTCAATGCCATCGAATTCTGTACAGCTGGCTTGTGTGCAGCTGATTAGAAGTCTCCTTAAAGAAGGTTATCAGCTTGGGCAGCAAACTTTATGTAAGCGATTCTGGGATAAACTCAATTTATTTCTGCGTGGAAATTTATCTCTAGGTTGGCAGTTGACTACTCAGGAAACCCATGAGTTACAAACTTGTTTAAAGCAAATTATTAAAAACATAAAAGTCAAAGTACCTCAGTGTAACACTTTTGTGGATTTGAGTCCTGCAGGTAAAAGCTCTCCGGCATCTTACAGTAAAGAAGAAAGTGAACAAATAGAGAGGAGGTCCAATAAAGATCTGCACTGTCTGGAAAACTCCAGCCCAACATTTTCTAAAGAACCAATGAAAGCTGAGGCATATCAAATACAAGAGAATATATTGATTAAAGCAAGTAACACTATAGAAGAGGATAATGAGCAAAATTATATAAAAGATTGGAAACTAGAAGATCATCTCTCAGCCGAGTCATGCATAAAGAAGAGTAGTAAAAACGTTTTCACTGAAAGAGCTCAAGATCAAGTTAAAATAAGTACAGGGAAGCAGAAGTCCGTGAAAGAGAATTGTACTTCAAGAAATGTACTGCAGAATTGTACTTCAAGGAATGGTCCAGAAAGGGGATGTGACAGAGGAATAATAATGTCAACACGTTTGTTGACCGACTCTAGCACTGATTCTCTGGAGAAGGCGTGCACATCAAATGAGGATTTATCTTTCAAGGATGATGCTCTTGGCAAAACCTCAAAATCAAAAACTAAGGCACATAAAGATGAAATCTGTGCTAAGTTATCACATGTAATAAAGAAGCAACACAGGAAAAGTACTTTGATCAATAATACTGGTAATTTAGAGGAAAACCTAACTGTGTCTAACATTGACAGTTTCTATTCAAGGAAAGATTCGGGAGGTCAGAAAGGGGATGGCTTCATGCACAATCTCTCTTTAGACCCTCTCGGCATTCTGGATGAAAAAAATGGGGAACAAAAATCTCAAAACAGTTTATTGCTGAAAAAGAAACAACTGAAGAGTGAAGAGTTAGATATTTTCTCTTCCCATGAAAACAGCTATCAAATACAGGAATGTCACATTGATGATAAAGATTTGGTCTCATTTACGGAAGTGACCAACACTTTCGTGAGGAAAACGTCTCCCTTCAAAGATCCTGTGACTGTTCTTGAATCAAAAGATAAGGAAATTAGCAAGAATACCAGTCAGATGTCTTCTCACTTGAGAGAACAAGCTCCTGGCCTCAGTCCTCAGTCTGACACCTTAACAGATTCTCAGATAGACAGAGACCTCCACAAGTTATCTTTAATAGCTCAAGCCAGCGTTATTAAGTTCCCATCAGATTCAACTCAAAAAAGTTCATCCCAGCTACAAAGAAGAGTGAAAGACGACAGAAGATGTTTCCCGGCTGACCAGAATAATACTGGGGAAGCCTGTCGGGGCCAGATTATTATTATTTCAGATTCTGATGATGATGATGAAGGAATTCTAGGTTTTGAGAAACATATTAAACAAGATAAAATAGGCATCAAGAAAGAATGCCCGGAGCAGCATACTTCAATAGCTAGTACGAATGTGGAAAAGAAGTTAATAAAGGAAGAGGAGACAAAGTCCCTTTTGCAGTTTGAGGAATCAGATTCTCAGTTTTTTGAGTTTGAAAGTCCATGTGAAGTGTTTTCAGTTTGGCAAGATCAGGAACCAGACAAGAATTCAGTTCAAGAGAGTGAAAAAAACTCTTGTTCGACTGACATAGCTGATATCACGAATGATTGGGGTTATGAGACAGATTATGTATCTGAAGAGGTTATTAAGAAGGTAGCAGAGGGCATTGAAAAACACACAGAGCCACAGAGTAGTATTTCTGTTGGGGAATTTTGTGAAATTGAAGTAAAAAAACGTAAGAGAAAACGATTTGAAAAACCTATGGCTGAAGGTCCTCTAAGGCCTTCACCTTCTGGTAGAAATGAGAACCAGCCTGATATTCTTAATGAGAGAGGTCTGACTGAAAATGATTTTAAAAGTATGGACCTAAGGACAGTGAGTCCCAGTTCAAGTGTTCAGAGAGACAAAGACACTACGGTTTCACTAAAGAAGTCTTCTCCAAAGCTTCATACTTACTCCAAACCCATTAGAAGAGTCCCACTTTCTAAAACTCCTAAGAAAACACATTCAGATACCAAGAAAGGGCAGAACAAAAGTTCAAATTATATAAGTTGTAGGACAACTCCTGCTATAGTTCCACCAAAGAAATTTCGCCAGTGCCCTGAACCAACTTTAACGGTTGAGAAACTTGGTCTGAAGAAGGCTCCTCGTAGGGCATTTGAGTTGTCTCAGCGATCTCTAGAGAGTTTAGTTAAGTTACGCCACCATGGCAAAACTGTTGGAGTGGTTGATACTAGCAAAAAGACTAAGTTAATTTCTCCTCAGACTCTCTCTGTCAGAAACAATAAGAAACTGCTGACAAGTCAAGATCTTCAGTTGCGAAGGCAGATGAGACCCAAATCACAACAAAATAGACAAGGACTTTTGGATTATGAAAATAAAGATACTACAAGAGCAGGGCTGTGTACAGCACAAAATTCTGACATACCTGTCCCAGAATCAGATGGTTCAGATTATAGTTACAAAGGAGGAACTGAGGTGGTTGCTAACAACACTGGGAAACAAATAAAACGTGTGTCTTCGGAACCAGAACCCGTGAAAACAAAATATGTGTCTCAGGTGACCAATGATGCTTGTCTTTTGAACCAGTCTGCTGCTGTTGTGTTGAATGGAAGAATACCAACAAATGAAATCATTGTCTCTGCTTCAGCAGACCCCTTAGGCGGTGGTGACCGAACAGTACATCATTTAGAGTTGGCAACTTTGAAAGACGGAGAGCCTGAATCCAACAGTGATACAGAAGATGAGAATATATTTCTAACACAGCACGATCCTGAAGATATGGATTTGTGTTCACAGATGGAGAATGGTAATGAGAAACTCATTGAAGTAGTTCATGGCAAAGATACAGCTCAGGTGGAAGAAGATTCTGTAAGTCAGCCTCAGTTGGAATCTTGGAGTAGCACAAAATGTAAGTACAAAGATTGTGTTGAAACCCCGAAAAACCAGGGTGACTACTGCTCAAAACACTGTGAAGCTAAAGCAGCAGATGAAGATGTATTTCGTAAACCTGGCTTGCCCCTTTCTGCATCTAAGCCTTCCAGACCTTCCACTGCGAAGATTTTTAGCTCAAGTAGTACTTCACGAATTGCTAATCTTTCCAAGTCTTTGGAAAGTACCTCTGCACTTCCACCAGCTCTAAAAAATAAGTCAAATGGGGCACAGGCTGTTTTGAAAGTCCCACAGCCAGCCTCTCTGGTGTCTCCAAAGCCAGTGGGTGAAGTGAAGAGTTTGGGCAATGTTTTTCATCCCCAGACTCCAAGTAATTGCAGCAGGCAAGGTTACAAACTGACATTTGGTGAAAGCAAATCCTTCTCGGCTTCCTCTCCGGTCCACATTCTCTTGTCATCACAGTCCATCTCTGACACTTTTGTCAAAGAGGTCTTAAAATGGAAATACGAAATGTTTGTGAACTTTGATCAGTGCGGGCCCCCAGCAAGCCTTTGTCAGTCCATCTCAAGACCTGTGCCTGTCAGATTTCAAGATTGTGGAGATTATTTTAATGTTTTTTTCCCTTTGATGATATTGAATACTTTTGAAACAGTAAGTATATTTTAGTTGTATACCTGCCGAGACTTTGAAGTTGCTTCTTTTCTTATTTCAGTAGTGATTTAGAGTACAGTTAAAATAACTGACCTAGTTTTGATTTAGATGTAGCTTTTAGATTACGTGTTGAATGGACAGTTGTGCCAGACGCTGTTCCTAGTTGCTGGTGATACAGAGGAAGCACTTTCTTTTTTTTTTTTTTAAAGATTTTATTTTATTTGAGAGAGAGAGAGAGAGCACATGAGATGGGGGAGGGTCAGAGGGAGAAGCAGACTCCCCGCTGAGCAGGGAGCCCGATGCGGGACTCGATCCCGGAACTCCAGGATCATGACCTGAGCCGAAGGCAGTCACTTAACCAGCTGAGCCACCCAGGCGCCCGAGGAAGCACTTTCTTAACCTCTGCCCTTCTGGGACCTCCCGACACAATTCAGAGTGCTAATGAACCGAGTCCAGGGGTAGCACAGGGGTAAGTGTTTTTTGATACAGAGGTAAGGGAAGACTTCTCAGGAGATGGTCTCCGTAATACAGACCTTTACTGAAGTTTTCTTGAGGAGGTGGCATCGGGTAAATTACATCGAACAACAAAAAGCAGTAAATCCTCGATTTCTTTTTATATAATAATCTGACGTCCCAGTTTCTTACTCATCCTAGCAGGTGCTCTGTCCCTTTAACTGTCTCCCTGTCTCCCCTACCTTAACACATAGCATTCTGGTTCTTCTGTCTTCCTTACTCCCCCTGACTAGGATTGCCAAATAAAATACAAGATTCCTAGTTAAATTTGAACCTCAGAAAAACAGCTAATACTTTTAACTGTAAGCATGCAACTGCATTTTGAAAGATGTTTTTGGTATTCTCAAAGCAGGTTAGGGGTCAGAAGTTAGATTTTTACTTTTTCAAGTTACTTAAAAAAAAAAAACGAGTATGTAACAACCTGAGTTTCTTAAAAACAAAACCAAGAACACTGAGGTAAATATTTGTGTATTCATTCACCTGCAAGATATTTGGGTGGCTGATATGTGGCAAGTTTTATTATAGGCCTGGGGGGTAAAGTGGTGAACATGGCAGACAAGGCCTCTGCCTTCTGGATGTGATGGTTTCAGATCAGGGGAAGGATGCTAGTGTGATCTAGCACAAAGGGCATAGGGCACTTCTGACAGAAAGGTTTGACAGTCTCTGCAAGCGATAGTATTTACACTGGGACCAGAAGGAATCCACCATGGGAAGTATATTCCAGGCAGGGGAGGGCAGATACAAAGGTGGAATCAAACTTAGTGTGTTGAAGGAAAAGGAAATGTATCACACGAAGGGGCAAGTGTGCTAGATAAGATCATCAAGTAAATTGTGAATATTTGTTATAAAGCTTGAATCAAAGCATCCTTAAAATGTACTTTTATATCAATTTATGCCCCCAATTTTAGCCATTGTTTTAAGATTTATTTTACTAGTATTTCAAAAGCATTAGAAACAACCAAATTGACAAAGGATCTTTAATATCTCCATAACAGCAAAGTGAAATACTGATTTAGTATTAAGAGAATTGTTTTCTTCCCATAGAAGAATTCTTAGCTTAGTGAGCAGTGTATGTAGTTAAGTAAGCTGGGGAAAATAAATTTTATTCATTTTGAAGCTTATTTTTTAATCTTTATTCTTGCTGGAAAGCAAGCCATTCACGGCCCTTAAATTTAGGACAGACATGTTTTTTTATTTTTCCCTGAATTAAGAGGTAATCCTATATCCCTCTGTAAGATCTCTTCCTTTCAGGACATTTTTGTAGCTCTAGGCTTTTCAAAACAGAATAGGCACAAGTTCCATTTATACATACACAGAGGTTTTTTTTTTGAAATGTTTATTTTTTTTTTTAAGATTTTTGTCAGACAGCGCACAAGCAGGGGGAGGCAGGCAGAGGGAGAAGCAGGCTCCTCGCTGAGCAAGGAGCCCGACGCGGGACTTGATCCCAGGACCCTGGGATCATGACCCAAGCCAAGGGCAGACGCCTAACCAACTGAGCCACCCAGGCGTCCTCATACACAGAGTTTATTTTTTATGTTTTGTTTTTTATTATTTGAGAGAGAGCACGAGCTAGTGGAGGGGGTGGCTGAGGGAGAGGGAGAAGCAGGAAGCCTGACATGGGGCTCTGTCCCAGGACTCCGAGATCATGACCTGAGCTGAAAGCAGACACTTAACTGACTGAGCCACCCAGGTGCCCTATTATACATACACAAAGTTTGAAATAGTCAAATACTTCTGTAAAAAATGGCATGCACCCCTCACCCTCTCAGTAACCATTTTTTATTCTTAATGGATCCTTTTGATATCTACTTCCATATTTCTAAATAATATGTCACTCTTGTGATTTCTTAACTTTTCAGTTTTGGGCATCTTCTCTTGCTATGGGAAGTACCCTTTCTTCCAGCCCTACATTCTCACATACCTTTCCTGTTCACTCATCCTCATTACAGAGTTATTTTATGATTTTTAGGTCAGTGTTTATTGTTTTGACTTTATAAAAGGTACCCACAGCTAAGTCATGTAGTATGCTTTAACTGCTTTTCCTTTCCTTCCCAACTCTTGTTTTTTTCTGGATTTATTGTCTCATTTAATTTTCTATATACTTAAACTAAATTAGCTTCAGACTCTTGGATGTTTAAATCTCTCATGATCAGGTACATGAAATAATCTATAAGTTTCGTATTCTTGGTTTATGATGGTTATCCTGAAGTACTCACCATCCTCATCCCGGGGCTTGCATTTCTTTCTTTCCTGTGTTGGATCTCTGTCGCTTGTGCCCCTAGTTATCTTTCTTGGTTAGTCCATCATTTTAGCAAAGCACAGCCTTCCAGGGCGCCTGGGTGGCTCAGTTGGTTAAGCGACTGCCTTCGGCTCAGGTCATGATCCTGGAGTCCCGGGATCGAGTCCCGCATCGGGCTCCCTGCTCAGCGGGGAGTCTGCTTCTCCCTCTGACTCTCTTCCCTCTCGTGCTCTCTATCTCTCATTCTCTCTCTCTCAAATAAATAAATAAAATCTTTAAAAAAAAAAAAAAACCACACAGCCTTCCAGCTTCCTGAAAAAAGGATGTGTGGATGATAAAGTTTTGAAACCTTGTATGTCCTAAAATTTCTTAAATTTTCTCATTTTTTCTACTTTCCATCTCACTTTTCTTTTTCTACTTTATCAGAGGCCTTCTCACCTATTTTTTTTTTTTAAGCATACTTTTAGTTTCATGGGACTCTTGTTCTCTGAGGATTCCATTTTATAGGATCCTATTCTTTTCATGAGCAAGGCATTTTTTAAATTTTTCATTTTTTTAAAGATTTTATTTATTTATTTGATAGACACACAGTGAGAGAGAGAACACAAGCAGGGGGAGTGGGAGAGGGAGAAGCAGGCTTCCCAAGGAGTAGGGAGCCCGATGCGGGGCTCAATCCCAGGACCCTGGCATCATGACCTGATGGCAGACGCTTAATGACTGAACAACCCAGGCACCCCATGGCATCTTTTTATTGTCTGAAGTTTGTTAACGATAGTTTTAAAGTCAGTTAAAAAGTTCTCTTTGCATAATTCCTGTTTCCCCAATTGGCTTTTTGCCTGTTCGTTTTAGTGTATACAGACCTTATATATTAACTCTTTTCTTCAGATAACTGATGATTTTGGGTGATCTCACAATTAAGAACAGGACACTAAAAAGCAGATAGGAACATTATTCATAGTAACCAAAAAGGGGAAACAACCCAAATATCCACTAGCTGAAGAATGGACAAAATGTATTAATGTACATACAATAAAATATTCAGTTGTAAAAAGGAATAAGCCATTATCTGCTACTTTTACATGTTCATTGATGAACCTTGAAAAATTATATATAATAACGTAATATTATAGAATGTATTATTGTTACTATTATGCTAACACCTAAAAGTAATATTACATGTCAGGTACACTTCAATTAAAAAAAATATTTTGGCGCCTGGGTGGCTCAGTCATTGAGCGTCTGCCTTCGGCTCAGGTCATGATCCCAGGGTCCTGGGATCGAGCCCCGCATCGAGCTCCCTGCTCGGCGGGAAGCCTGCTTCTCCCTCTCCCACTCCCCCTGCTTGTGTTCCCTCTCTTGCTGTGTCTCTCTCTGTCAAATAAATGAATAAAATCTTTAAAAAAAAAAAAAAATATTTTGGTAAGTGAAGTCAGGTACAGAAGGCCATATATTGTATGATTCCGTTTATATGAAATGTCTAGAATAGGTAAATCCATAAAGACAGAAAGTAGATTATTGGTTACCAGGGGTGGAGGAGGAAAGGACACTCCCAATAGGTATAGGGTTTATTTTGAGATGATGCAGGTGTTCTGGAATTAAATAATGGTGATAGCTCCACAAAACAGTGAATATACTAAAAGCCACTGAAAGGGTACACTTTTTTTTTTTTTTTAAAGATTTTATCCATTTATTTATGAGAGACAGAGAGAGGGAGAGAGAGAGAGAGAGAGAGAGGCAGAAGGAGAAGCAGGCTCCCAAGGAGCAGGGAGCCCGATGCGGGGCTCGATCCCAGGACTCCGGGATCATGACCTGAGCCGAAGGCAGACGCTTAACCATCTGAGCCACCCAGGCACCCTGAAAGGGTACACTTTAAAATAGTGAAATTTATATTGTATGAAATACATCTCAGTTTATAAAAATGCTATAAAAAAGGGATGAATTTAAATAGTGACAGGTTAAAAGAGATGCTAGGAATACCTGAAGCTCCTGCTTTGCTAAAATGATCCTTTTTATTGCACTGTGGGGAAGTTAAATGTGATCTGAAGGACACCATAACATGGTGAAACCCAGCATAAGTTTCATTCTTTATGTGAAAATTGTATGCTTCGGTGTAGTTACAAATCTGTGTTTTGTTGTATATAAGATTAAAAAGAAGCTCTGAGTGAAAGGGTAGGCTGGTTAACCATTGGCGTTTTGTTGTAAAGCCCCATCCCCACCCTTATAAGTCAGTATCTTTATAATCTTTTTT